CAGACGCAGCTGCCACCCCCCCAGCCCTGAGATCAAGAGTCGGAGGCTTCCGCTCAAGACAGCCACCCAGGCGACCCTGGACTTAGATTTTAAAACGGACTAGAAACCGAGCCCAGAGAGTCGGCGGTCTCTGGCGGGCAGAGCGGCGCAGGGGGAGGCCGCTGCGTGGGAGCACGGGGAGCACACGGAGCACACGGCTGCACGGGGAGCACGTGGGTGCACGGCAGGCCAGGCCAGAGGGGACGGGAGAGCCCAGCGGCAGGAGAGGCGGCGTCGCGGAGGAAGCGGACCGGCCGAGGGGAGGCGTCTGAGGCACAGAGTACATCAACAGTGAGGCCAAGAAGGAAACATTCAACCCGAAAGGTGCCGCGGGGGAGCTTGAGCATCCGGCTTATGATTTTGGCTCAGGTCATGATCTCAGGGTCGTGGGATTGAGCCCCGTGTCGGGCTCTGCGCTCCGTGCAGAGTCCGCTTCTCCCTGTTCCCCTGCCTCCTCTCACGCACCCGCTCTTTCTCTCTCAAATAATGAATAAAATCGTAAAACACACCCAGGTGCGAGGAGGTGTCGGCAGGAGGATAACAGGAACAGGGCCACGAGGACAGACTTGAAGCAGCTCCATTGAAAGTCCAACCCCGTGGACGTGAGGGCCTTGGATAAAAGACGGATGGTGGGACCCCGGGCCGCATGGAAGGAGCTACAGCCCCACGTGGTCGAAGCCCAGGTCCGTATCCTGTGCCACGGTGACCGCGGGACCCGAATGCTCCCAGTCACCAGACCCATGACGCTCAGAACCAGCCTGGGTATGCGTACAGCTGACTGAGCACCACACTGGGGAGGGAACCGAGGGACTGACCCTCACAGCACAGACGAGCCCCACACGCACTCTGCCCAGACAGAAGTGGGAGTGCCTAGTGCACGATGCCTCCCCTGACATTCTAGAACAGGCCAGCATGTCCAGACGGAAAGAGAGCCGCTGGGAGGGCACCAGGGCAGGCAGTGACCACGCTCTGCCGCCACAGCCAAGACACAGACAGGCACCTTTCACACCCACTGCAGGGAGGTAGAATGAGACCCCGGGAACAGACAGAGGAGGAAACCACGGGGTCCTCGGGCTGGAGGGTTACACGTGACATATGACAGGCTCTGTCCTGTCCCCGAGACAGGAGATGCTGAGGACCGGGGAACCAGGGAGGCCACCGCCGGAGGCTCTCAGGGACGAGCCCCAGATTGCAGCTGGAGTGCACAGCCGAGCCCCCTGCCCTCAGGGCCAGCACCTCCACTGCCGAACTGGAGCACTGCCTTCACAGGGAAGGAACCCCTGCCCCACCCAGGAACCCCCACCCCACCCCTGCTTGGGACCCACCCTTACCAGACCAGGGACAAAAAGCCCCACTCCTCCCCGGGCCCTCCTAGCCTTGGGGCTGAGCTCCAGCAGTGTGGACGCCCTGACCCAGGCCGGGAAGCAGGGAGGGCGGCTTGGGGTTGGGATTCGCAGAACAAACTTTGCCTTCCCCTTCTCTGTGAGATCCCCAAGCTGGAAGCGGGGCTACAGGTGGGCGCGGCCCCCAACAGGAAGGGGGCCGGGGTGCAGGGATGGACAGCCGCGGGATGGCATGGCACCAGCCTCATGGATGGCGATGAGCAGGGCCTGGGCCAGGACACAGCACACACTCTGTCCTTCCGGAGTCCCAGGGGTCACCTGCAACTTCTGCTCCCAGAAGGCAAAACCGGGAACAGACGTGGGCCGCAAGCTAGGACCCCGTCCCATGTCTGGTGTCAGGCACACAGGCAGACCCCAGGGGAGCTGGCTGGGCCCCCGAGGGAGCAGAAGCAAGGCTGGGTGGGGCCACTGCGCACCTCGGACAGCGGCCCATGGGGGTCCCCTCCCAGGAGTGAGCAGGGCCCAGTGGAAGTGCCTGGCTCAGCGCCTTTGTCTCTGACATCTGCAGGTGCAGGAGGAGGGGCTGAGCCACAGGGGGAGGGGAAGGTGGTGCAGAAAGCGGCCCCTCCAGCCAGACCCACCCACCTGCAGAGGTGGCAGAGGGACCCCCTCCACCTTTGGTTGGCTTACTCTCCCCACCCCTAAGCATCACTCCCACCCACCCTGCCTCAGGGTGACCCCCAGCCAAGATTAAATACTTGTTCAAGGTCTGTTCGCTGTCTCTCTCCCTGTCTGGGCCACCACTGCTCACGGCCCGTGGGTACACATGTGCCCAAAGAGCGTGGCAAGGGTGGCTGGTGGGAGCAGACCCCACACCTCTGTGCCCCACCACCAACCCCCACCGCCTAGAGGGGGTAGGCCTCCTCCACTCACTCCCCTGGCTCAAAGCTGGGGCAGGGACTTCCTAAGCCCCCAGGAGACTCCACTCCAAGCCAGGGACTGTGGAGAGACGGGAGGGAGCCTGACCTGCCCTACCGATGCCCCCTGCCCCTGCTCAGCACCCTCCTGGTCACTCAGTCCTAAGAGTGTCCTTGGGGACTAGGTAAGTCAACTGTGATATCTCCGCCCGATGGACAAGGAGCCCAGGGGACACAGGGGACACAGGCCCTGTGGGAACACAGAACCACTGGGGGACGGTCCCCTAACTTCATCTCTCATGTTTAATTCCTTCATTTCCAGAACAAGAGGCTCAGGGTGCAGAAGCTGGTCTTGACAAGGTGGCCATGAGAGCACCCCGTGGGCTCCCACACCTTCCTGCACAGACGATGCTGGCCCAGAGACCCTGGGAGGTCGCCCAGGCCGAGCTCTCCCTGGACAGGTGGGTAAACGGCCTGGGAAGAGGGTCCCACATGTCCGTATGTGCCTTGGAACATCCCTATGCCACCAGCTCAACAGCCTGCCCAACCCGAGTCCAGGCGCCAGACTGAGGGCAGCAGCTGCCCAGCCGCCCAAGGGGCTGGGAGGATGTCCCCCAACCCGACCAAGCCGGCACGGAGAGGGAGCCTGGGGTGCGGGCAGGCAACCTCTGAGGGCGGGCCCCTCTCGCTGCCTGCTTGCTCCCACGGCCCCCTCCCCCACCAACCTCCTCCCAGCTCACCCGGCGCCCGGCGATGCCAGCGACGTCACTGCCAATAACCTAGATTTTAACCAAGAAATCGCACTCCCCCCACTGCCCCACTTATGGTCTCACCGAGGAGAAAACCCAGACTATAGCACCCTAGGCCGGCCCCAGGCTCTGCCCGCCGAGGCCTGCTGTCCTCTCCCGTTTCCCATCCTGCCTCCAACACCCCCAGGGAGAAGGCGGCAAGGGGCTCCTTGGATGAGTGACCCCCTGCAGGTACACGGCCCTGGGCCAGGCCTGTGCCCCCCGCATCTTGTCTTGGGGGGAGGTTTCGGGGGGATGCTGGTGGGAAAGTCAGGTCACGGTCAAGGCAGAGGAGCAGTCCAGGGAAACTTGGCCTCTAACCCCCAGCCTGCCCTTCCCATGGCCACCATTCCATGTTTCCTTGGAAAACCCAAGCACAGAGGCAGAACGCTACAGTCCTGAGAAGGAGGCCCCAGACTCATTTCTGCCGTCCCAACACCTCGCCCTCTCCCTCGGCACCCCACTCTGGCCAACGTCCATGGCCACACTGGAGGGAGACGTCTGGAGACTAGGGTCCTCTCCTGGCCCCATGGTGTCCCATGGTGGGCCACTAGTGGACAGTCCCTGCCCCTGGACTTTTGGCAGATTCCGGCTCCCTCCAGCTGAGTCTGGGGCCCCATGCGGCCCTTCCCTGGCCCCCAAGGTGGCTGTCAGCAGTGGGCAGAGGGAACTATACATGGGACAGCTTCCCAGAGGCCCCCCTAAGGCCCGAGCACAGAGCCGGTATCCTGGTACCGGGACACCAAGCCCCTCCCTCTGCCACCCCAAGGAAGAACCACGCCCAGATCAACGTGGTCTTTGCACTCCGGTCCTGTGGAAGCCATTTAACTACCACCACGTGCATTCAAAAGAAGTCATGAGTCCTATGGAAAAACCATCCACTCACAGCCCCAAGGAGCGCAGGTGGGTGCCCCTGGCAGAGCCTCCCTGCTCCCCACAGTGCTGAGAGGGCGCTGGCTTAGCCAGACCACCCCGTCCTTGGCTGCTCTTGGGGAGAGGCCATCCCAAGGTTCCCAGCAGGTCGGATTGGCCAGTTCCAGGCTGGACATGGAGTAGATGGGGGCAGGGGGCAGCATCTGTCCCATCAGGGCACCAGGACGCAGGGCACCAGAGGGGAGGAAAGTCAGCACACTGTCCCTCGGGGCCCCAGCTCTGGGACGTCACTTCCCACCAGCACCACGTGTCCAGAGCTGATCCACTGGGCACGGGACCTGCATGCAAATGAGCAGGCAGCGGGCCCAGGCACACAGCCAGTTTTCGGGGAACACGGAAGGCAGGTGGATACCCGATCCGGGGCCCCAACTCCCGGACCCTCTGGCCAGCAGACCCCAAAGAGTCTCCAGGAACCGGGACGTAGTATGTAATGCCACGTCCAGTCAGGGCATCCCCGGTACACAGGTCCCCAGTGGGGGACCCCCTCCACAAATACCTTGGGGGGCCGCTCACACAGTTCAACAAGCACTTTGCAGCCTGTCCCTTGATGCTGGACCCCGGGAGGTGGCAGCACACAAGCCAGATACAGGGGAGTCTCTGACCTCCCTGAGTCCCAGGGAAGGGCTGAGGTCAAAGTTCAGGTAGACGGGGCCCCACTGGGTCACTAAGGCCTTTAGCAGGTGAGTCGCACGGTACCCCATGAGCCCTTGGGCAGGTTCCTGGGCCACTGAGGTCCTCACTGTCCTCTCGTGAGCCCGAGGCTGTGGCTTCTGGGGGGAGGTTTCACCCAAAGTCAGGCGTCCGGTCCTCAGCCTCAGCTGGGGACTGTCCCCTGCATTCCCCTGGCACAGCGGCCACCCCAAGCGCTCACGGTCACGGTCAGCCCCACCTCGGTGCCCACGCGGGGCCCAGAGGAGCACCTGCCCCCACTGGTGGGGGGCAGCGGGCAGGGCACGGGCCGGGCCCCCGCCGCGCGTTACCTGCATAGCTGCCCGTGGCCTTGATGTACATCTGGCCGAACTGCTCCTCTGCCATCGTGTCATAGGCCTCGTCGTCCTCCTCGTCCTCCTCGTTGTGGTAAGAGGTGGGGCTGTCGGTGGTGGGCAGGCTGCTGGCCCCCGGGCTGGTCCGCTCTCCCTGGGAGTAGGGCACCTGCTGGATGCTGGGGATGAGGGTGGCCAGGCTGGGCACCCCGTAGTAGGACACCCGGGGCAGCTTGAGCGGGGCTGCGCCCACCGCCGTGGCACCCGCCGCCACCGTCGTGCCATCCCGGGGCCCCGTCTCCAGCGGGCGCTTGGGGGCCAGGCCCGGGCCGGCGGCCGGCGGCAGCTCCGTGGCTTCATGCTTCACGCGGGTCAGCAGCGGGATGGGCACGGAGGGGGACACGACGTAGGGGGGGGCTGCGGGGGCGGCCGGCTGCAGCTGGGTGCAAGGGCTCTGGGGCTCCGAGCTGGCGTCCTCGATCATGGCGGTCTGCGAGTCACAGTGGGGCGAGCTCACCTTGAACATGAGGTCCGTGCCGCGCTCCACGATGTGCTGGATCTGCAGGAACCCGGCCGTGTACATGACCACGAGCTGCTCGCTGGCCGCCATGGTCAGCCTGCCCGTGTAGCAGAAGGACAGGATCTGCTGGAAGCAGGCGGGCGGCACGGTGCCCGGCAGCTCAAAGGCGCTCTTGCTGTTGCCGCTGAACAGGTCCCGGAAGTAGAGGCTGCTGGCGGCCAGGACGGCCCGGTGGGCCTTGAAAGCCTGGCCTTTGACCACGATGGACACATCACAGTAGAGGCCCAGCAGGCGCTGCTCGTTGAGGCAGCCGAGCACGGTGTTCCCGAAGTTGGGGATCTCGATGTGCAGCATCTGCGACATGGTGGGCAGGCGCTGGAGGGCTCGCCTCACACTCAGCGCGGAAGCGCCCGAGGGGGGCACATCTGCAGGGAGACAGGGCGCAGGGACACCTGGGTCAGGCTGCTGGACAGCCAGGGCTCACCCCAGCAGGCCCGCGACACACCCCACCCCCCGTCCCTCCTCCTTGCCCGCCCCAGGCCCTCCAGCAGGGCCCTCCCCAGCGGACGGACAGCCGGCCCAGGGGAGGTCCTGGGGCCAAGCTCCTCACAGCGGGACCCTGGCTGGGCCAGCACCCCACAGGGACTCAGAGCGGGGAGGTCCTGGGGCCGAGCTCTTCACAGCGGGACTTTGGCTGGGCCAGCACCCCACAGGGACTCAGAGCTGCACAGCCGCATTCCAGCGGTGGGGTGGGGGTGGGGGGATGCCCCTGACACCTTGTGCAGCTCCCAGAGACCATCCCCAGGACAGCGCTAGAGCCCTCGGGCAGGGACGCCCCGTCTTAGCAGAAGTCAGGAACAGAAACGGAGGCCTACACTCCGGGAGGACAGAGAGGACGGGAAGGACAGAGGACAGAACACGGAACAGGGCACAGCCAGCCGCGGCAGCTGGGAGGGGTGAGGGTGGTGGCCCCGTCTGCAAGCTCTTCTCCCCAGGAAAAAGTTAGCAGCAAAGGGCCTCACACAGCCCTTCCCCTGGGGGGGCTGGATCCCAAACCAAGTGGGTCCTGCAAGGGGGTCTTTTGGTTTCTGGTTTGTTTTTCTCCTCTTCGCTTGGAGCTGCCGCACAGAGGGCCCTCAAAGGGGGCGTCCCGCTCCACTGGCTGAGAAGCCGGCCCCTCGTCCCCCTCCGAGGAGGGCCAGGGTGGGGCGCCCAGGGAAGTGAGCCGAAGCTAGAAGTCAGGCGCGCCCACCAGCGCCGCCCCTCCCCCGGGGACCGGCTCCCCAGACCACCGGCACTGCCAGGGACGCACCACAGCTGGACCACCACTGGGGAGCCTGGCGCAGCCCCACCTGCCCGCCCTCCCAGTCCCCCAGCTCCCCACGCCGGCCATTCCCGGCTGGCTCGATCCCAGCCCAGGTGACTAAAGGGGTCAGGGGGAGACGGGGAAGGGACCGGCAAGGGCTCAACGGGTGCCCCAGGGGCTGGGGACGGGGCTCCGGGAGGTTGATCTGATGCCGGATTCACGGGTGGGGGGGCTGGGGACGGCCGGCAGGGGGGAGGAGGCGCCGGCCGAACTCTGCACAGCGGCGCCCGCACAAAGGGCTGCTCTGTCCCGCGGGAGGAAAGTGCAGGCGGCCGCAGAGGCGCCCGGGGCTGGGGGAGGGCGGGCGGAGGGAGGGCGGAGCGCCGGGACCCCGGCGACAGGAGTTGGGCAGATGGGTGGCTGCTGGGGGGAGGGCCCGCAGTGCCCCCGCCGCGGAGAAGTTGCCGGCCGGCCGTGGCACCGGCCCGCGGGGGAGACCTACCTTGGGCGGCAGCCGCCGGGGGCCCGGCACTGCCCGCTCAGCCTGGCAGGGGCAGGCTCGCCAGCTGCTCCGGGAATGCAGCAAACGGAGCGGGAGCCCTTGGGGTGGGGAGGGCGCGCGGAGCCGGGAGAGGAGGAGGAGGAGGAGGAGGAGGGAGGAGGAGGGAGCAGGGCAGGGAGTCTGGGCGCCGGGCTCGCGGCCGCAGCTCAGCTGCACCCAGCCCGGCTCCCGGGGCAGCGCACAGCATCTAAATGCAGAGGCCGGATGCAGACGGACATTCGGGCGGCTCTCCGGAATGAATGCCGCCTTTGATTTGGGAGCCCAGTAAATGCCAGCTCCAGCCCCGGCTTTCACAACAGTGGAGTGCTGGTGCCACAGGAATGCACGCTCCGGGTGTTGGTACAAGACAGACTTTGATGACTCACCGCAGTGCAAACAAAGATGGCAGAAATACTGTACGCGGAGCGCTCCGCGGTGCCACGGCAACTGAGCGCCCAGATGTATGGTGCAGCTCTGCATGCGAATTACCAGTCAGCCGCCGCTCTGCCATCCAGGACGGCCCGAGTGTCAAAGCATTTAAACTATTCCAAACAGTCTGCAGGGCTGGCAGAGCCACCAACTCCGCCTGGGCGGGCGGGGGCGGGGCGGAGTAGGGGTGGGGGGGATGAGAGTGGGGGAGGGGGGCAGGACAACAAGGGGACCGGGCACAGGGGGACAGGGGACAAGAGGGAGGGGGGATGAGGGGGATGGAGGCAGGGGGATAGGGGACAAGTTGGGTAAGGAACAAGGGGGATAGAGGGATGTCAGAATGGGGGGGACAAGGGGGTAGTGGCAGGAGGAGGGGGTGGGAGGACAAAGGGGATGATGGGTATGGAGGGCTGGGGGGGTAGGGGGACAAGGAGGATGGAAGGGGATGGGGTGGACAAGGGGATGAGGGGACGGGGGACAAGGAGGACCAGAAGGTATAGGGGACGAGGGGGCAGGTCAAACAGGGCAGGAGCTAGATGAGGGTAGGGACCCCAGGAGTGGGGGGGGGTGAGAAAAGCAGCATGAGAAGATGAGAAAGGAGGTGAAGAAAAAGAGAAGTGGGAGAGGAGACCCACCGCCCCGCAGCGCCCCGTTCTACCTCCCACCTCTCCCTGAGGTCCCCAGAGCAGCAGTCCCAAACAGGGCAGCCCAGCACCCCATCCCACTCACCCAGGAGTCACCCTGCCCCCCATGCCCTGAGGCGGGTCTTGTCAAGCCTTGTGAGTGCAGTTGGGCAGGGTGGGGGGGGTGGCCACAGACCTCGCAGATGGGCAGGACCTAACCCCCCACCCCCCATCCCCCACAGGTGGGCAAAGTCACCATTGGTTGACGGGATGGTGGGATGATGGGATGGGATGGTAGGAAGGAGGCCAGGCTGCCACACAGGGACCGTGGCATCCCCCCTGCCCCCGCTCCCAGGCCCCTCTCTGGAGGGAAGGCTACGCTGAGCGCGTTGCCTCTGCCGGCCCGGTCTGGGCTCACACCACCTGCAACCAGCCCAGCCTCGGTTTCCCCTCTTGCCAACCATGGCCCTGGGCAGAGCACAGGTCCCTACAGAGAGGGCAGGGATGAGGCTGGCAGTGGCTGCGGTCTGGCCCCAGTGGGGGGGGGCACTGCCAGCCCGACACCCTGGTGGGCGCAGCCAGGAGGGGCCGGCGGGGGGGTGGGCAGCAGCCCTCCCACAGGCGAGTGGCATCCGGAGAAAGAAAGGGCCATCTGGTGCCTCCCCATTCACACCCAGCGCGCTCAGCTTCCCAGAGCAGATAAAGCGGAAGGCAGCACAGGAAGAAATCCAGGTGTGGGGAAGCGCCCCCAGGGGCGGCTCAGGGCCTCCCACGGAGGACTACCCTGGGGGAAGGGTGACAAGCCCTGCGATTGCAGCGTTGACAGAAATGGTCCCCGCTCACTGCTCTGGGGACCTGGGGGCCAGCCAGGGGACACAGGGGCCTAACCCTCAGCCCCCCAAATCCCCCGGCCCGTGACGGAGCGAGTCCAAACCCCAGTCCCCTCCTCGCCTCTATCTAGATGAAGAAGTCCGGCGGCTGGGCCGGCTTCAGGCCACACGCCCCTCACAGCCTGGTCCCCACTGCCCCGGTCCTGGGGGACGGCCACTCGGCTGCCCTGGGCACCAACAGCTCCGAGCGGGCATTCACGTGGATGCTCGAGTCCGCACAACCCCAGGGTGGGGGCTGCGAGGGGTGGCCTTGCCAGCCTGCCTTGATCCAGACCCAGAAGGACCAACCCAGGGAAGCCTCCACCAGAAGCCCTGTCAGGCTCCAGACTGGGTAGAGTCTCCTTTTCTTGGGGCCCAGGAGAGGCCCAATGGCCCCCAGATGAGGGGGCTGAAGCCCTGGGGTGGGGGTTGGGGACACAGCCCCCACATGCCACCCAGCCACAAAGGAAGGCAGACTAGGCCACAGGCAGAGCAGACATGGGGAAACAGGGGACACCCAGAGACGAAAAACTGGTGGAACCCGTGCTGGGGAGGGGAGGGGACGGCCAACCTTGGCCTGGTGCAGCACTCAGGCCCCTGGGCCCCAGGACACACAGCCTGTCCTCCCTGAGACAGACCTGCCCACCTCAGGACTCTGCCTCTTCATCACCTCCTCAGAGAAGCCTGCCAGGTGCCCTCTTGAGCGGAGCGAGGCCAGGTGGGTCTGCACAATGCCTGGTGGGCTTTAGCCAAATGCTGGGGATGCCCGGGAGGGCTGCGGGAGTGGGGCTGCGCTGGCCAGTGCATAGCGCTTTGGAGGGGAGCCCCCCGCATGGCCCCTTCACCCGCAGCTCCGGCTGCCAGGAGTCTCCCAGAAAGCCAGGTAGGTTACCCTGGGCCAGACCAGGGCGCTGGTGCTGAGGGGGGGACCCAGGCTGGCAGGGGTGGACAGAGGCCAGCAAAGGTGCATTGGGCACCAGTTCCTAGAGGGTCTCAACTGCCTGGGGCTGGGCAGGACAGTGACCAGGTCCACAACTGAGAGCAAGGGACAGCGTGAGGCCCTCAGAGCCCGTCCCTTCACACAGCAGGTCCCCCCTGGTCAGCGGGCTGGAATCTCAGGTCCCAGGAGGACAACAACCGCCTGTGCCAGCCCCACCCGACTACTCTGTGTCCACGTCCTGAGGCCTCAAGCAAATGGGGCCCCATCTGGGAAGCTCATCTGGGAAGCGGGGGCCAGGGTTACCCTGGACAGTCACCACAGGGTGGAGGGCGACGGTGTTAGCAAACGGCACCACGAGGACGCATACCCGCCGTGACCTGGACGGGAGGCGGTAGTGCAGGTGGGTGTCTCTCCCTCCACCCCCTCCCCGCCCGGCTCACCCCCACCACCCCCGCCCCATGCCCCAGGGACGCAGGCCAGCCTGGCCAGAGCCAGCCCATTATTCCCCTGGAAGGTGATGAGGCCGTCTGGTCTCCGGGGAGAGAGGCCCGCTGTGGCGCTGCCGCTGTGTCCTCAAGCCACCTGCAGGCTGGAGCTGCTGCCCCACAGCCCAGCACCCCCCCAAGGGCCCTGGGGGCGCCGGTGTTAGATTCTTTCTTAGAAGCCCTGGCTGGGATGCAAACAAAGCTGAACTTTAGGAGAAAAGAATAAAATAAAGGCTTGGTTTACGTGCCCAGAACCCTGAAAACAGGACAGGCCGCAGCCGACCGGCACACGGTGGCCAGAGAAGAGGGACCCAGGACCTGAGAGGGCTGAGGGCAGCAGGGTCACCCCCTCACTCTTCCCTGTGTGGCGGGGCCTAGCCCTACCAAGAACATCTGTCCCCTTCTATGCCTCAGTTTCCCCATCTCCCTGCTTCCCAAGCAACATGCATTCGGTTCCCCCCCAAGAGCAAGAGTCACTATGCCCGCGGGCATCCGGAAGGTTCTGAAGAGCCAGGAAGAACATCAGAGATCTCTCCATTCATTCCGGCCATCTTCAAAAGCACCCCACCACGGAACCCTCCCCAGTCATGACGCCCTGCGGAATGGAACCCACTTTAGGAAATCCCAAAGCCAGAGTCCAGCCCCTGCAGCTGAGCCAGCCCCAGGGGCCCCCACCCCATACAGACCTCCTCCAGAATGAGGAAACATGGGTAATGGGGGGGTCTCCTCTCACACACCCCTCCCTCAGGGAGACCCAGGATCTAGGACCTGGGGTCACGGCTGTCAATCAAAGCCCCTCCCAGCCCCAAGCGCAGCGCCTCCTGCAGGCGGACGAGGGAAGGAGCACGAGGAGAAGGCGCTGGGCCACCGCCCCCGGAGCTACAGACAGGCTCCCGGACAGAGGGCCTAGAGAGGGTGCAGGTGGGGCCCGGATTATTGGGGTGTGGCCAGGCCGAGACTGGTCACACTGGGCTCCAACAGGTGCCAGGAGCACGCCAAGGACTTCCCTGTGGGGCCTGGAGGACCAGAGGAGGATGGACAGTCCAAGAGGAGAGGCCTCCTTCCCAGGCCCCCACCGAGATACAGCCCCAAGGTCTGCAGGTAGGTCCCGGCCAGACTGTCTCAGAAGCCCTGCAGGGCCCCGGCCCGCCACCTCTCACCCTCCCAGCCCCGCCGTCCATCCCAAGGAGCCCCCGCCCCCCACAGCAGAGGAATACACCATCTACCTTCTTCAGGGTCGCCACCAGCAAGGAGAGGAGAGGCAAGTTAACGGACATTAAACACAATCATCACGCAGGATTTAACTTTTCCCATCTCATGAGAGGCCTGGGCCTGAGCAAATGCAGGGCCAGTGCACCTCGGCAGGGAGGGAGACAGGCGGGCGGGCGGGCCCACCAGGACAAGTGGAACCCATCCCTGCCTCCCTGCCCCATGGCGCCGCCATCCTGGGAGCAGCCAGCCACAAGGACGCGTCCTCCAAGTGCAGGTGCTCCCGGGAGACGGCAATGAGCACAAGCAGGGCAGGGCGGCCAGGAGAGGGTGAGGAGGGGTCGGCGGGAAGGCAGGCTCACTTTGGACAGAGGCCCGAGGAGCCCTGGCCTCGGCTTTTCAGCTGACAGTACGGGCTTGGTTCTGGCCTGTGGGAGCAGAAGCTCCCTTCCAGCCCCAACCCAGCTCCTACTCTGGCTCCGCTCCTCCGAGAGCAGGGGGAGGCAGGCCCCTCTGGGGTTGAGGGGCCAGGGCTCTGGCTCTCCTCACCGCTGCCCAGCTCGGGGCGGGCCAGGTCCCCCCACACCGAGTGAGGCCCCAGCCAGCTTGGGCCTCAGGTTTGCATTAAACTTCTAGTGCATCATAAAACCAGGCTGTGCAGCCTCAGCCTCAGCCTCGCTGCTAATGGAAGGGCCCGTCGTCACCTCTCCTGGACTGGGGCGAGCAGAAGCAGGGCCCCCGGGGTGGGGTCTCCGCAGCCAGGAGCCAGGAGCCCCTCCTGCACAGCCCCCCACGTGCAGCCCCCCCCCACCTACTGTGCACTTAGCGAGCTGCACCT